TTTTTCTCACTTAACCCTTCAAGCAACTTTTCAATCTACTGATTATTGATTATATGGACATGAGAAAATAACTAAAACCAAGGATTAAGGTGAATGAGACAATGAAAGACCTTAAGTGCAGAATATTTTCCAATCAAGAACCAGGGGACCCCAACAAATGAAGTCTCCTGATGTCTTACAGAGATAGGGTCCAACAACTCAGATCAACAGTAGGAGGGAGACTTACTCAGTTTTTCAGAAACCAGTTCCTATAGTATTATAGACAAGACACCAAAACTCATGGAATGGAGATGCAAAACCCACCAAGAGACTGACCCAAGGTCAAAAACTGGGAGCTTGAGACTGGCAGAAGAAAAGAGAAGCTGGCAGGAATCAAATCTATACTCATGCCAAGTATAGAAACAAGAAGTGAGCTTTTCAGTTTATTGGCAAAGCATGGAGAGCACACAGAGAGACAGACACTCACAGGTAGATATGTCACATTGTATATCACCTTACTGCACAGAGGAGCTCTCAGGTCAAGTATCAGCTCTGGAATAAATATAGCTAAGCCCCATCTATATGTGACAAGCAGAATTAAGAAGATCAAAAAGTAGAAGTGAAAAACCAGATTTGAGGAAAACAGAACGCATATATGTAAGACCTTAAAATTGTTATAATCAACAATTACAATATTAAGGTCCATGGAAACGTCTGGAAAATATTTGTAGACCATGTTTCTCATGAGGCTCAAGAAACTCTCTTTTGGACCTTAGACCTGCAAGTTGGAGTGGAAGGAAGAAAGCAGATATGCAACTAGAGGGCTTTTTTTTTTTAGAAGACTTCTTAGAAGGCTGTGTTGGAAGGGTGGAATGTAAATAAAGGAACAAGGAGCAATGAAGATGGTTAACACAACAAGAAAGTCCACTTTACATTTCCATTTAGAGATACAAGGAATAATACTCCTGTAAAAATCAGCTGTGCAAAGGGTGAGCAACATTGTTGACAAATAATGACTGATCATAAAAGTCAAAAACTAGAAACCACCATACAGTGGGTTATAGCAAGGAAACCAGAAAACTAAAACTACATGCCAGACACGTATGAATCTCACAAACATAATACTGAGTAAATAACCAGGCTCAAAAGAGTATATACATCCATTTATAAAAAACTCAGAAATAGACAAAACAAATCTATGGAAGTCTGAAGAACAGTTATCCTTATAGGGGAGTAGTGACTGAAAGGAATTAAAAAGGGGTGTCTGAGATGTTAATAATGCCTGTTTCTTGACGTAGTTGATCATTATACACTTTGAAGAGAATTCATCCAGCTGTACACTTATGATATGTACACTTTTCTATATGTATTTTCTACTTGCATTAAAAGCAGTAAAGCAGTATTCCCCACCTGTGTTCCATAGGACTCTGCTGCCTAAAGAAAAAAACGTTACTATGAGGTTCTTCCATAAAAGATCTTGGTGTTCCCTAAATTTAGGAAATGTTAGGAAAGTCCCAGTTAAATATATTCCCACTCTACAGGATATCTCCATCAACGTTTCTGAACATAACGACACTCCCTGTTTGGCCTTGGACCATGAACTGGCCTTGTTCAAGCTTTTCTAAGGTTTCCTCTATCCCTCAAATCTTAGCCGCAATATGATCTGCACACACGATTTACCCCAATTGGAACAATTCCACTTCGAGCACACACTCACTGTTATCAACCAGTCTGGATCGGTAGCACCACCTACTCATTGAAGAGCACACATTTACAATATGGTGCGGACTGCTCTTTTGGCTATATGTCTCCACTCAGCACTCTTGCATCCATGTAATCGCAGGGTAGTGAGCTGGCATGTTTCATATAATTTGCAAATACAATATAGTGAAGGCATACAGAAAAGCAGATTTTCAAATAGCTTTTTGCAATTGAGATTTGAGAATGCTCAAGTAATCTTAGCATTCTCAAGGGGTTCCAACACACAAATCAGTTTCTCCCAATTACCTGAAACCTATCACAAGTTGCTCTTACAATCACCTCATTTTTCTAGTCACTTAGGTCAAAACAAATCAGTGCTTCTTTACAACTAGCATTTTGATGTTCACAGTGGGACAAACAGCAGTGTTCATTGATTCAGGTTCTTGCCTCTTTTCTCAAACTCTTTTTCACTCCTATTACAATAACAGAGATTGTGGAATTTGAAGCTTGTCTCTATGCACCAGGAAATAACAAGTTTTGTGTTGTTATCTTTAGGACTTTTCTGCAATCTTAGTTTTTTAATTTAAATTGGTTTAATCAGACACTTGGTTTACTTTGACTATTCACTTCTGCCAACCTCTACAGTAAAAACGGAAAAAGAAAATCACCTAAGTTCAGTTCATTACCATTTTTTTTTTGGAGAAGGAGAGATGGATCTTCAAATGATGAACAATTTGCCTGAAGCCCATCACTTCTCTCCTCGACATCTGAGCATTAAGTCTTTTCATTCTTTCTGCTATGATCCTAATCAGATATACCACCCACTGCTCCTTCACTATACAATGAAGGCAAGAGAAATGAGGCAGATTATTCCAAACCAATGTCTTAGGCTAAAGCATTCATAACGACAGGGATCCTAACTATATTATATTGATTTCCAATAGGAGGATTAAATTATGTATTTTAAAGGAAACCCAGAACAAGCTTACTAACATTGTGATGTCCAGTTCAAAGGAAAACCATTCGGATTGGAAAATAAGCTTCAGTGTCTCAAAGCATACTAGAAGATCATATTGCAAACACCAAACTATAGCATGTTCCATGGAAAAATAGTAAGATGATCATATTTGAGGCTGCAAAAACCATTAAAAAAGCAGGGGGTGGAGGGAGAAAATAAAATTAAGAGGAAATTTTTACAAATGTAACTGTCACAGCCACAGTTATATAATCCTAAAGCAAAGTTGAAAGAAGTATAATGAAATGACTGCTGGACTCGGTTTAGCTCCAAGACATAGTGAGCAGCCTTGCAAATAATATTTTAAATGTATTTGCTCCAAAGCAAGGAAAAACATTACCCAAAGAACTGCAAACAAAACAAGTTCACTTAAGAGCAAAAATACTTAAAAGTTTTAATCAGAAAATATTCGAGTCCTAAGAAAAAGAATAATACGTTTCATGATTGGCTAATTCATGTCCATACAACCAGCAATGACTGCACCTACCTCACTGAAGTCCTGCCGTGTTTCAAAAGCATCCTTTGGCCAAATGGCAGCCCTCTGGTCTATTCTATAAAATACAAAGAAAAATTATTTCCATTTAAAAGAAATCTTTAAACAATGCTTACTTAAATCTGGTAGCTACAGATTTGGCCATATCCCTGTTAAAAACTCTCAGTGGTGTCCTACCGCCTGAAGAATAAAAACCAGACCCCATGTAATAGCCTGCCACGTATTACAGGGTTGAACTCTGCCCATCTTCCTCTCCCACCACCTATCACTCTCACCCTTGATCCCTCCCTCCCAGCCTCCCTGGCCTTCTGTTTCTTGAACACACAGTGCTGGTTCCCTGTTCAAACCTTCACATTTGCTTTCCCCCCAGATCTTCACAAAGCTGACTCTTCCCAGCATCATCTATGCTCCTCTGTCACCTCCCAATGAGGTCCTCCTGATCTCTCTAATACAAGTCCCCTCCCCTTCACTCTCTACTGCACTATCCTCAGATTTTCTTCTTAGTGCTTATTACTACCTAAAATTACATTGTTTATTTGCATTTTCCCATTAAATTGTAAACTCCAAGAAATCAGTGATTCTGTCCATTTTCTACACTGCTAAATCCTCAGTACCTAGCACAAATCCAATACTTTTTCATTCACTCAAAAAAAATTTTTTGAATACATGAATGTGATCTGTTACAGTTGTTACAGAAAGTTACTATTTATTCCCTGAAGATAGCTTCTGGAAATGTCATCCTATCTCTTAACACAATAAACGTTATAGCAACTGTTGGGTAACATGTAAAGCGAGATTTTGCCACTTCACAATTTCCAACGGAAGAAAATCACACAAACTGACTCAGAATACATTTTTTAGGTTAAAAACAAAAAACCCAACTCCACTACAGGCAGATGCTTAGCTCCAAATCATGATTCATCAAATGCTATGGTTCAATGGCATCTATTACATAACACTCAGGTTTTTCCACAGCAGTTTGCTATTATATAATAAATATATTCAATTATAGTTATTATCCTTATAAAAAGGCCTGCTATCTTAAGGAATAAAAGATTTAGTCAGTGGTAAGTCATTTATAAAAAGATTTATTTTGGGACATAATTATTTACAGTTATTATTCTGCTTCAGTTTGAGTCCTACAGAAAGCACATAGGTCCTCCGAATGATCATCAAGGTTAATGATTTCTAAGAGTCATGATGCACGCTGAGAAATGCCACAAGCCAAACTCCTTCAAAATACTCTTAAGAATGCAAAGTTCTCTCAGTCCTAGTACTGGGAACTGTGCAAACAATTTCCTTCTAATGAGAAAAATGAGATGGTAAAACAAAACTGTGATGCTCACACTGATGTCTACAATGTCTCTCCTGGGTGTGAGAGAAGTCTAAGGGTCCCAAACATGAGTTCAGGGAGAGAAAGCTCAAGTGAGAAAAGAAAGTGAGGAAGAAGGCTGCTGACACACCCATTCTCTGCACATCAATTCCCTGAGCCACGAACAATGATTCCAAAGCTTCTGACAATACCAAGTAGTGCTTTACTACTACAAAATGGGGGGAATCCTGTCCCCCTTGGGTGTAGGGTTTAAACCCAACATATCCAGTAACATCTAAAACTTTGAATGGCTCCTAATTTCTCTGTAACCTAAAGTGGTTCTCAAATTGTGCTTCTACTAGAGAGTTATGGTATCATCAGAAAAACGAAAGTCAGGTTCTCTAGTGGAAAGAATATTTACCATTTTACAGTTTTCAATCAAAAATTTCTCCAGGGCTTTGATGCCAGCAGACTGTAAAACACAGTAGCAAATACTAACAGAAGAAAGCAGAAACAGACTGTTGAAAATATACAGTAGGTATTACTGAGATGCAGAGATTACAGCCTACATGTAATTACTCACATTCTTCCAGGAAAACTATTTGTAGTCGCACATAAACCTCCAGATCAAGTTTGAGAACTGCAGTCTAAGCCTCAAAGGTGCTTTAATTTGACACCCATCTGAGTGTCTCCTGTGTGCCTGGGACAGTACTGGGGAGATAAGAATCAGCAAGCAGACTCTAGGCCTTTAGGAGACTTACAATCTAGTGGATTCTGAAGAAGAGAATAAAACTAATTAATACCCAGTCTTGAGGCAGTTTCCATAAATCAAGGATCAGGGCATGGGAGCTGATACTAGAACGACAGAGAGGAACTGGGTCAGTAGAGACACAGAAGAGAGACGTTTTCAAGGGTGAAAATAAGCAAGAGGTCTTGGGTCCGTATTCAAAGTATGAAACGAAAAAGATGGCGTGATGAAAATTCTTCCAAAGTTTTCAGCCTGTGTGACAAGAAAGATGATGAGTGGTCTTCTACAATGGAGACAGAAAGATATGTCATTTGTTGGGGAGAGTGGGCAGCTGGCGTAACAAGAGGCAATTCCCGAGTTTTGACTTAGATATTTGAAGCTTGACGCAAGGCTGAAATATGGAAGTGAAAACCCACGAGCAGGGCTCGCCCCAGCACCGGGTGCTCAACAGTGGGTTCAGGAGAGAGAGGCTGGTGATGACAGTGGTGACGCAGAGGCCGCAGGTCCTGTATCAGTTTTTAACTCACTGTGTGGCCAGAGCCCAGCACAGTGCCCAGCACACGGTACACACTCATTACATGTCTGCTGGGTGGATGAATAAATGAAGAAGCAGAAGGAACAAGACCCAAGAGTGACTTCATGATCTACCACCTATTAGGTGTGTGTACCCACAGGCAAGGTATTAACCTCTCAGCCTCAGTTTCCTCATCCGTAAAGTGAAGATAACAGCAGATAGATAACTCACGAGGGAAACTGAAGGACAGTTCATGAACAATGCTTACTGCTACTGTTAACTGTATTAAACGCAACACATGAACTCTATAATTAAATTTAAAAATACCATTAGAGATTTATAAATGACGATGATTAATGGTTCCTTTTATTAATAAAATAACTGAAGCCTTGTAAGTAAATAAGACGAAAAAGAGAGAAGCTGCAGTCATCCTTACTCAGAGCCACTGGGCAGATCTCTGAAACTGGCCAGTTAGGAGACGAAAGAAAGAAGAGACATGAAGAAAACAAAGATGCATCCGTAAGAAGAGAAGCCAACCAGAACAGCACTCCAGAACCAAAGAGAAACATGTTGCAAGAACAATGAGAGTCACGCAGAGCCCAACAATTTCAGTCAATTCCAGGCACTCTACTGACACTACTTCATTCAACCCTTGTGGTAACCCCATGAGATTAGCACTACTAGATCCATTTGACCTGACAGGAGACAGTTCAGGCAATTAAATAATTTGATCCATTCATTAAACAAGTATTTATTAAGTACCAACTTATGCCAAGTGCTAGTGCTGAGAATAAAACAGGGAATGAAACACGTCTCTGCCCTCAATGGAACTTATGTTCTCCTGAAAGCAGAGAGAACTTAAGGAAATAAGCCAGTGATCTCTGGTGCCTGGTGCTACGTATTAGGGAGAAAAAGAAAGTGAGGCAAGGAGAACAGGGCATGCAGGAAAACCGCCCAAGCTCACGCTGCTAGAAAATCTCAAAGTCATCTGGAGCTAATGAGGATGAACTAATGTGGAGACATAAAAGGCCACTGGATCTGAAAAGATAAACATCAAGGCAGAAGAGAAATCTAACAGAAGCTTCTCACCAGAGGAATTTTGCAATGAAATGAAAACTGGAACAGGTTTTCTCTTTAAGATCTTTCAAGATAGCACTTGAATCATTTACAATCCTGCCTGGAAGCTGGCCTAAACACCAAAACTGGGTCACACCAAAACACTCCAATTCTCTCGACTCCCTTCACCCAAAACGACAGTAGGAAAGCGGCCAAGCACATCTCCATCAGAAGTGTGCTACTGGAGAGGGCAATGAGGAGACGGCCAGTCAATTCCAACACAACTGTGCCCTCCAGCCCAGGCCGAGGCCATGGGAAATGCAGCCTGGACTCCTGATATGGCTTCAGCATTGATGCCTCCAATCACCATCACTCCCAACACCCTCCCCACCCCACCCCACCACCACTGTCACCACCACCAACACCAACACCATCACTGCTACCATGATGACCACCACCATGAGAGACTTCAAAATGACACTTAATAGAGAAACAAAGCAAACTGTGTGCTGATGTTGAGTTTATTTCTGGATTCTACAACTGCAAAATTGTGGATAGCCTGTGGCCGTGCAACTTTTTCAAAAACTTCTGGTGTTCCCACATTGCTGGAACCCAAAGCCTGTGCTGAGCCAGCCTGTAGGGTCATCCTGCAGTGACCGTCCCTTGGGAAGTGGACTGGAATTCAAAGCAGCAAAACAAACAAAGCATTAAGATATTTTTCTTGGCTCAAGGATAATGTCAAGCCACAGATGTGATAATTTGTGAAGAAGCAGTATTTTAGCATAGGACTGTTGATTTATATCAACTTTCTATAATTAAATTAGCAGATAAAAGCATTCCTTATCTCAGTGAAAAGCTTCCTCATCTATCCAGTTGCTCATGAAAGACTGAGAATTATCTGACACTCTCCTCTCCCTCAAGCCCAATATGCCAACCCATTACCAATTCCTTCAATTTCTTATCCCAAATAACGTTTGCATCTGTCCCCTCACCTTCTCCCTCCCCCACGACCACCTTAGGCCACATCACCATCATCTGTCTTCTGGCTACCTCCCTGATCTCCTTCTCTTCTACCCTCCGCAAACCATTTCCCACACAGCAACATTGTCACCACTTTTCTGCACATCTAAAGACCAAAATTCTTCAAGCATCCCATGACATCCTGAAGGACTACATCTGCTGACTTCTTCCACCTCCATTCACCTCCTCCTCCTCTGTGTTCCCGCTGCACCAGCAGTCTTCCAGTTCCTTGGACACACCACGTTCCTTTCCACCTCAGGCTCTCTCACATGCTGTTCCTGGGCCCCTAACACTCTTCCCTCTCCACTTCCCTAATTAACTTGCTCATCCTTTAGCTACCAGGTACCAGACCAATCAGGTCTCCCTTTTGTATCTCTCACTGAACTCTGATCTTCCACGTGTGCCGTG